ATCCGATTTTTGGACAGAAGTTAGTTATCGATGTCGGCTACATTTTGTTTTCACATTTCAACTTCAAAAATTGCACTTAAGTCCCTGCGACTTAGCTTGGAAAGTGACGAACTCAAGTGAACATTGGAGGCCCAATTGCACATTCAAAGCCCATTTTCTTTACCCTAATTTCCATTATATAATCACCTTCTTTTCACACAAACTAGGGAGGAAAAAAAAGAGAGAAAAAAAACCTGGCCACAATACTGTCAGAATATCAAATTCTTTCAAGAACCCTAAAACCTTGAAATCCTTATTACAAATCCCTCTATCACTACAAACAGGTCATCTCAGTTACAAACCAACATCTCACTACTTCTTCAGTAAGAGTAAGGCTGACTTGATCTCCATGATCAAAAGGGCATAAAAGCATTCATGTCACTACTTTTCCAGTAAGGGTAAGATTGATTTGATCTCCATGATCAAAAGGGTATAATCATTCATACATGCCATATTGTGCCTAAACATTAAATTTCTTCATATATTGGCTTTATTTGCATTTTATGATTTTATTTAATGTGTTCATGAGATTCAACACTGTAGATTTTAGACAGGATCCAATGCAGGTTCATTAAGGAACGTTGAGGCCAAAATACAAATGGCCAAAAGCCAAAAGCCAAATGGCCAAAACAGAACAGCTTACACATGACACCAATACATGGCGAGGCAGACATCTTGAGAATGTTAAGGAACGTTGAGGGCAGAACACAAATGGCCAAAAGCCAAAACACAAATGGCCAAAACAAAACAGTTTACACATGACACCAATACATGGCGAGGCAGACATCTTGAGAATGTTAAGGAACGTTGAGGGCAGAACACAAATGGCCAAAAGCCAAAACACAAATGGCCAAAACAAAACAGTTTACACATGACGCCAATAGTTGTTTCACCCCTCCAACCAGGCTCGTATACTCCTAAACTCTCTTTATATTTGTATTATGTTCCTTTAATTAATTAATCGTTATTATTTTTATTAATCACTAACCAATTAACATTTTTCCTAATAAAATCAAAAACACAAAAAAAAATATATTTTATTTATTAAAATTAAATTCAGCGCTTTATTTTTGTAAATAAATTAATTTAATCAATTTAGCTTTAATTAGATTTAATTTTTGATATTTTTTGAAATATTTAAAATCAATTTAGAATATTAGGTTTTTATTAGCATTAATTCAATTTATTTTATTTCTTTAAAAACTCAAAAATCCAAAAATATGTTCATTAGAGTAGGTAGATTCTCATGGGTACTTGCTCTCTCAAAAACAAACAAAATACTTTTCGCACCTACACTTTTCTGACAAAAGTTTTCAAACAACACTTCATACACTCTTGAGGACAAATACAAGAGTTAAATCGAAGTTTTCAAACAAACTTTTTCAAAACCCACAAACCCAAGAAAAGCAAAAACTTTTTGAAAACATAAGAGCAAGTACCTAAGAGCCCGTGGATAACCACGGATAGAAAGGGTGCTAACACCTTCCCTTTCTATAAATCTACCTCCCGGACCGAGAGACATCTCAAAGAAGGAATTTTGCTGTGCTTTTGTCCTTTCCATGTTGGAGAACATAAAAGACGGTGGCGACTCTTGCTTACCGCGACATTTCGCGAACCAGCATTAAAAACAGTCAGTTCTATTTCCACCGATCACAGAGACAAATAGGGTTTTGACCCTTACTTAAACCTAATTGCGATTAGTTAAAAAATGTTTTTTGGTTTTGTTTGGTTATTTAGGAAAATAGAGAAATTATTACATTAAATTAAAAAAAAATAAGAAAAGCCTAATTCTAATTAATTTTAATTTTAAGAAAAAATGAATTAATTTATTCTAAAACCTATTTTTTGTATTTTTATTTATTTGAGAAAAATAGAAAATAAAAATAGAAGTCAACCTAATTCTCTAATTTAATTTTAATTGTGAAAATAAATTAAGGTTTCCCTAGGTTAAACTAAATTACATCAAACAAACTAAAATAAAAATGTCTAATTCTAATTTAATTATTTTTGGATTATTAATTTTATGATTTTTTATGAAAAATGAATTAATTTGTGAATTAAAATAAATAATGAAAATTAAAAGAATAAAAATAAAGAAAAGAAATAATAAAAGAAAAGTAAATGGGCCTGGATGTTGTTGCTGAAAAGGGGGTGAAAACTGAATTTCTGGGCCCAAAAAGGCTAAGGCCTGTTTGACTTCGCCCTAATCCAGTATGCATGCTTGACTCAGGCGCATGGTGGTCCTTCCAAGGTGGCATGTTGATCTGGGGACATTGATGGATCAGAGGGCCAGATCTTGATGGTGCACGGTGAGCACCTTGTCCTGTAAAGCGTTAGATTGTCTGTGGAAAAATATTAAGAACAAAGTTTGGGACCTGGGAATCGAACCCAGGTCCTTATGCATATTTCCACCTCCACGCTACCATCTGAGCTACGCGCTTCTATTGTACATATAATAATAATAATACACAAAATGTCAAACACTATGGTTAAGTGTGAAAAACACGCGGAATTTCAAACTGCCCAACCGGGGGGTGCCACGCCTCCATCTCCTTCCTCCCAGCCGTCGTGTTAGCCTATACACTTATACCTACGGGCGTGGCTCCATGGCTAAAGACATGCAACCTTCAACAATCAAGAAAACGCATGCTGAATAAATTCTAATCACATGGTTCTGTTTGTCTTGAACCCACGAACACCATGGTATTACTTTCTTGGACCAATTTCACTGATACAGAGAAACCCCAAAACCTAAGAGCAAACCCTAACAATGGCATCTCTTGATTCCTGTACTAAAAACACAATTAAACACCACCAAAAGCTTGTAAATTTGATGATAAACAAGGATATATACACAAAATATGCTAATGACGCGTGAATAAAAGAAAACGAAATCGAAGTTTTGGGACAAAATTGTGACTTATGTACCTATGATTCCAGGCGTGATAGAGCTTGCAATTGGTTGGGATATGTTCCTGGGGTGTCCAACAGTCTATTGGCAATCTGAGAATGGCACAAATTGACCTCTAATATAGAAATTGGATCACCACTTTTCTTGAAATTTTTTGAGTTTTGTTTCACCTCTGCACGACTGCTTAACCCTTATGCTTTCTTTGGAAATGTTCCATATATATTAGAGATTGCATTAGGGTTGTAAAACTGATCACATCTTTGGAAGTTTTTCAAGATTTGATTTTATTTTAATGGCATATGTAAACCTTCCAAATTTGGCCTAATCATGCTCTTTTTGTCCCAATTTTCATTGATTAGATTTGATCTTACAAGCTCATCAAATCTTGGTTGTTGACCCGTCACAAAAACCAATCAAATACAATATTTGATATTTTCATCATTTATTTGATTTAATTCAATTTTTAATTAATGAAAAATCAAAATAATTTGAAAAATGAAGCAAACAAATGATGGGTCAGAAAATGAGTCGTGGACCACATTATAATTGAGGTGCAAGCATAAAAAGTTGGGGCCATTTAGCAAAATATGCAAATTTGAGCATGTTTGACTTTTGGCAATTTTGCAAAAAGGGTCAACTTTGACAATGCATATCTCTCTCAATTTTGACCCTATAGAGGTGTTCTTGGACTTTTTAGAAATATTAGGGTGTCCTCTAAGCAACCCTTTTGTTCTCATCTCAATTGAGTCTTCCATGTTCATGTATGAAACTTTGACCCAAAAGGTGTTTTTGTTGACTTTTCAAAATGGCCTATAATGTCAAAATTCTTATCTTTTTGTGAGTGCATATTTTGAACTTGGGATATGAAGATGAATTATATGGAATTGCATCCTCTTCCAAATGTGCTTTGGATGGGTCATTTATGATGAAGTATGAGAAAGTTATGCTTGGTCAAAGTTGGGTTGACTTTTCCTACAAAACCCTAATTTAGCAACTTTTGGGCTTTGAAGAATTGTGAGCAATCCTTGATGAATCATGATCAACCCTTGATAAAATTATGAATGATACTTCAAAATGATGATGTTGACCAAAAATCTTGAAGTTTGACTTTATGTGGGCCATAGTTGACTTTTGACCTAGCACAGTCGATTTCTAGGTATTTGAGCAATTGACTGAGCAAACTTCCTCTGCAAGGCTTGAAACTTGACATGGATAATCTTGAGAACATATTAGGACAATGGTGAGCCTTTGGGAGCTCTGCTGTTAACCATATCTTAAGGTGGATAAGTATAGGGTAATAGCGGGAACGGTGATGGTTAATAAATAGGGTGTGGTCCCGATTAATTTTACCAGGGCCCCATGGTGTGCGTCATTGTACTTTTCTAAAAGTACATGTGTGTATGTCCCCCGTGCAAGGGCAAGAAGACTCATAGGTCTTAGTAGGTTTATAATAATGTATGGTGGTTAGTACATTCCCATGATGGCGAGAAGCCTTGTATGGTGGTATTTTACGATGGATTAAGGGTCCTGCTTAAGTGTGGTGAGAGACCCTGTTGATGGACAATGTACTTAGGTATAAACTTCTAATAGGCGTGATAAATACCTTTGGGTGATTCCTCAATATGTCGCTTGGTCAATACATCTTTTTGGACGAGAACACCCTAATTTAAGACCTTTACAAATATAGTACCACAAATATGTGTGTTAGAGATAAGATTATAGAACTCTTTCTCTATTGAAATATCTAGAATAATCTATTGATGCGAAATCTTCTATAAAAGTTATAAATATGAAAGAATTTATTCTTCGTAAACCAAACAAGTAAAAACAAGCTGGCAAATATGTATGTTTATAAATATAAATTGTCCTTCTCTAAAATATTCTCTCCCCCTCAATTGATCACAAAATCTAAACTTTCTTCTTTTCCAACAAAAGTATAATATAGAGTTGTATACAACATAAATACAAATTTCCAATCTAAATAGATACTTGCTAAAATTACTATACTTGAACATTTGCCTATCTTTTTTAAAGCACCTCAAGATCAAACTCAAACCTTATTTTCTACCCTTGCATAATCAATTTCACCTTCATAACTATCAACCACAACCGCAACCTTTTGCACATTTTTGTATGAATATCTTCTAGCAAAGAACACAAACAAGAACAAATTCACAGTAGTTATACCTGCCAATAGCCAATAAAATTTGTCCAATCTACTACTATTCAAATCCTTACCAATCCAACTCTTCCCATTTTTCATTGTCATGTGATCAACCAAAGTTATCAACATACTACTCATAAAATTTGCTGCTCCAATCACACTTAAATAAAAAGCTATTCCTAAGCTTCTCATTGAATCAGGAACTTGGTCATAGAAATATTCTTGTAATCCAACAAGTGTAAATCCATCACCAAAACCAATAATTAGAAACTGTGGAACCAACCAAAAAACACTTATAAGTGATTCCTTTTTAATAGCTTCAAGTCTTTTTTGCTCAACTAAAGCTGCTACTATCATTGTAGTAATAGTGAAAAACATTCCAAAGCCAATTCTTTGAAGGATGTTGATTCCTCTCTCATTTTGGTTTATTTTTCTTAACATTGGTACTAGGATTTTGTCATAAATTGCCACTGAAATTATCATTCCTAAGGCTGCCACTGTGAAAATTGAAGCTGGTGGAAGTTCAAAGCTTTTACCTATTTTTCTGTTCATTGTTGCACTTTGTTTGATGAAGAATGTTGATGTTTGTGCCACACTTATTCCAAATGGGATAGTGAATATCCAAATTGGAATCATGTTTATTATAAGCTTCATTTCTTCAATTGTTGTTACGTTTACTAGCTTCCATGGACTTTGCTTTTCAGCTAAGTTTCCATCATTTTCAATTATAGCTGCCTTGTCAAGAAATCTGAAAACAAATTGTCAAATTATGAATTACTAAGAGATTTTGAGGAAAAGTGTCTTAGAATATGTGCGATGAGTTTATCTCATTCCTACAAAATTAACTTGAAATATAGAAATCTTTCCTCCCTTATAAATACAACACATGTTATATTTCTAAGTAATGTGAGACTTAATCCACCCTTTTAAACCCAACAAAATGAAGGTATCAGATGATGCAATGAAAGCAAGTCAAACACCACAATTAGGCGATTAGGAGCGGACCATAAAAAAGACGGAGTTTCCAACACACACCTTCACACTCGGGCCACAATGAACATGAAGCGTGGACGATGTGGGAAGCTCAAGTCTCAAAGAGTCTGAAGCGTGGACGATGCCGAAAACTAAACAACAGATCTAGAATAGGCTCTAATACCCTCTTAAAATTGTTGGTTGAACCTAATTAATCCCTCAAAAACGGCCCATAAAATGAGGATTGCTCACACTTATAAAAATATGATTAAAGTATATATTGTCTGATGTTCTACTCTTAACGCACCCCCCTGCATCTAGAATTGGGCATCTAGAACGTGGACATTAATAGTGGGTGGTCCGATAACAAATCTAACAAAATAAAAGTGTTGGAGACTACAATCAAGACAAGTCAAATGCCGCAATTAGACTACATATATAGTGTCAGTGTTACATAGGACCGATTATTGTAGTATCAACCCTTTTGATCAAATGTGTGTTTAATGTCCGACAAATATCAACTGTGGCACGGCTGAGATAAAGCACATACCTGAGTTTTTTAGTGTGACAAAGAAACTTCTTTTTGTTGCCAAGAGATTTAGGAACCTCATACAATTGATCAGCACTAGAAGGATATGGAAGCTTCCTCTTAGAAATAGCAGCAACAAGAACTTGCAACATTGGAGTCAAAGGACTCCCACAAGGTACCCTATACCTATAAAAAGGCCTTCCAACAATAAATACAACAAGTGAAATCGCCATAACTCCAGTAAATATAACATCAGCAGCACCCCAATTAATATTATCTTGTATGTAAACAATCAAGGTCACTCCTAGAATAAGTCCACTACACAAAGCACAATTCCACCAATTAAAAAACGACATTTTTTGCTTCCTTTCTTCAACATGATCCTCATCAAATTGATCAGCTCCAAAGCTCTCCAAAGAGGGCTTATGACCTCCAGTTCCTATAGATATTGAGTAAATAGCCACAAAGAAAACCACTTCATGAATCTTTCTTGGTTCATTGCATGTCATAGTGTGATCACATGGCTTTAAGCTTGGTAAGAACCATGATAGTGTAAGCAGTACCAAACCCTGTGATGAACAATTTGGTAAAGTTATTATTTGGATAGATCTATATATAGACTTGACAAAACACATTAATCGTTTGCATCTAGCGGGAATCAAACCTTGACCTTGAAAGACGCACATACTCAAGACTCAGGCCTTCACCACTAGACCAATCCTTAGAGGTTTATGAAGTACTAATTAATTAAATTTTAGTGACATAGTAATTAAGATTAGTTACCATAAGATAAGCAATCGATGATGCAAACACAGTGGAGTAACGACCTAAATAAGCATCAGCTATGAATCCACCAAACAATGGCATTAGAGTTGTGACACCAGTCCAATAGTTAACATTCCTTGCTGCTGTTTTAAGGTCTTGATGCATAACTTTTGTGAGATAAAGGACTAAGCTGGTTGCTATTCCAAAATAGCTTAATCTCTCACTAAACTCAATTGCTGAAAACAAGTATTAAGAGATTAATAATTCTATTGTGATTAACTAGTGTAGCAAATTCAAGTAATAATGTAAGTAACATTAAGAAAAACACATAAATTATGGCGGTTTTATTATGTTGTTTTCTAAAACTGCCACTATTAACGATTAATTATGATTAGTTGAATTGAGTTAGTTGCTACTTTATATTTTTATAAATAAATTTTATCTTATGCTTTTTTTATAATTTATGATAAATAGTTTGATGAAAAGATAAATGAGTAGAAGTTATATACTCTTTAAATAAATTAGCAAATAAAATGAATATTAGTTGCTTAAACTTGTTCATACCTAGGATTTGAAGAATATTTAGAGGTGAAAGATTTGCCACTAGTATAATGCAGGAGTAATTTTATAAACTAGTGGAAGACTTGCATCATGAATCAGTTTGCTTTTATATATATTAGTGGTTGTGGGAATCCACCTCTAAAAATGAAAATGAGCAGCTGAAGATATATATTCCCTCCGGTCTTATTTATAAGAAAAAATTAACTTTTTATATACATTGAATAAGTAATGTATTTGGACAATATATTGTCCAAATACATTACTTATTTAATGTATCTAAAAAGTTAATTTTTTCTTATAAATGAGACCGGAGGGAGTAATAAAGTAGATGATTATCTCAAACTACTTAAACCAATATAAACCGATTAATGTGCGACAGTGACCCTATCCACAATCTAGTCTTGTACTATCAGATTATAACTTTTCAAATGAGGTACATATCTTATAAACTTTTCATTCTTTTTTATAGGATCAAAAGTAAAGTTATCTTCTCAAATTATCATTTGGATTATTGTGAATTTTGGAGAGAATTTCTTCTATTTATAAATAGGGTTTACTAGTGTCGGCACCGGTTAAAAGTTTTAAATAAAAATATATTTTGTATTTAATATATTAAATATATGTAATATTTTTTAGAAAAATTAATTATTTATATTTTCAATCGATTGGATACATATATTTTTTTAAAAAAAATATATATTTTTAATTTCTATTTAATCTTTTAAAGAATCTTCAACTTATCATTTTAATCTTTTAACCAGTATTTTAAGAACACTCGTTAATATTTTTCTTATGAATATATTTTAAGTATTATTAATTTGTTGTGTGAATATAAATAATGAATGATTTGATATTAGAAATTTAATAGTTGAACCAAACTTTGATATTACTTCACAATGTAAGTTGAATTTAATTCAATCTTATAAAATTATAAAGATATGTTCATGTAGTAGTGACCATTATAAGAATGGAGATGAAGAATATTAACTTCTTCTTTAAGTTTAACCATAACTTGATGGTTAATAAAATGAGCTTCAAAATACCACTGAAGTTGGTTTAAAAAAGAGGCTAAATTTTCATTTAAGTTCAACACACTTCAAAAGTGAAAATGGAAAATAATAAACTAGGAATCAAGAATAGGGTTTTTGCTAATTAATTGAAAATTTGAACTTATGCTAAAAGCCAAATGGAAATTGATATAAAGTAGATGAATGATTGGAGAGCTTCAAAATTTAAACTAATAGGTAAAAATTTGAGGAAAAGGAGTTTCATGCACTTTATAGAGAGACAAAATTATGGAGCATAATTAGATTGAAAACAAACAATATTTTAAAAAAGAAAAAGAATACAATAATATTATCATAAAATATTTTATTTTAACAAATTAACTTTATTAATATGTTAGAAGAATAATATAAAATAATAATCGAGAAATATAACTGAAAAAGAAATAATACTTTCTATATTAAAAAAAAAAAAAATAACAGTCATTTTAAAATAAATTTTAATTATTAAAATGATAGTTATTTTAAAACGAAAAGAACATCCTATCAACATTTAAACGTAGTTTAAGTCGAAGAAAAGCTATAATAAACCTATCTTACCAATAATGAAAAAAGCAGCTTTCCAAGAACCAGTTGAAGCTCGAAGTGGAACTCTACCCTTATGATCAACAGAAGAATCATGAACCCAATTCATATCATCATCTTCTGGATTCATCTTCTCCATCTTGCAATATTGCAACTATAAAAGTTTTTGGATATAGCTCTAATATTTCAAACTATTGAGTATAATATGTGTGAGCTAGTTGTGTACTGAGTGTCATTACTTAGTGTCCTTTTATAGAGAAAAAAAGGCTTGCTTTGCTTTTACTTTATACATCACTAAGATAATTTTGAATTTATCCATTAAATTATAATGATTCTATATGGAAATTAAAAACTAAATAATGGGGGACAAAATCAAAATCCATACAAAAAGTCAGATGCACCTATAGTTAATTTTAGGTTTAACTTCATATGGTAATTATAAATTTTAGATCTAATTATTGTGAATTTATAATCCCTTTTTAATGTTTTTAACCTCTTCCTCCTCATGATTATTAAATATATGTTTTTATTCATTTAGTCACAATAAATTTATTATCAAAGTAGCGCAACAAGATCTATAATAATTAATAATTGTTTTTAAATAAAAAGGTATAAAGGATTGTCACCTAAAAAAAATTTCTTAAAAATTACCAAAAAAAATTTTAAAAAAATTATTAGTTTATTGATCGGATCAGTAAATTATTGATAGAACCATATTACTTTTAATTGAGTTTTGATTTTACTTCTTTGAAATACTGTTTTCAGACATCCATATTTCATGTTTGAATGATTGAACGTGAAGAATTTTTTTAGGTGACATTATATTTGCTGACGGTATTAATTTTTTTATTTATATAATGCCATGTCAATATTCTTTACAAATATAGAAAAATCTTCTCAAAAAATTGATTCCTATGAGAATCAAACACAATTATTTTTGCTCAATAGTAAAATTCTTTACCACTGCACCATGCTAATTGATTTGTTGTATTTGCTGATGAATTGTATATATTATATATATTTTTCATAAACACAACATAAAACCAGATGTGATTCAAAATATTTCAGAACATATAAAATTCATGAGATAATATAATAAATTAGTTAGCATGGTGCAGTGGTAAGGAGTTTTTCTAGTGAACAAAAAAACCTGTGTTCAATTTTCATAGGAATAAATTTTTCGAGAAGATTTTTCTATATTTACAAAGAATATTGACATGTCATTATATAAATAAAAAAATGTTTAATTGCAACTTTGATCTCTCTATTTTGTATTTTTTTCGATTTTGTCCACCATTTTAAAAACCATGATTTTGGTTCCTCTTTTGAATGTTTTGTTGAAAAATGAACAAAAATAGGAACTAAAATTGTAGATAAAAGCAAAATAGAGGAACAAAATTGCTCATAAAACTTAAAAGGGGACTAAAATAGTAATTTTTAAAATGACAGACTAAAATCGGAAAAAAAAAATTAAAATAGAGGGACCAAAGTTGCAATTAAACCTAAAAAAAATTAATGCATAGTCAACAAAAATAATATCACTTAAAAAGATTGTCCACACCCGGTCATCCAAACATGAAATAAGAAAATCACAAAAAAAAAAAGATACTTCAAAAAAAATCAAAACTCACCCTATTGATAAGGGAAAATCGTATATTTAACCCAAAATAATAATGACATTTATATTGAAAAAAAATATGCAAATCTAATTACATCTTCTTTTGGTAAAAAAAATTTCTATAACTAATGAAATTCATATTAAAAATAATATAAAAATATAATTTTATTTTTTGGGTAACATGACTTTTTTTAAAATTTGTGTTAGTTTATAATTTTTAAAATTTATTATATTATAATATTGTATAATTAATAATAAATAAATTCAATAAGAATACATTAGAGAAAATTTATAATTATAGCATATATAACTCCCTCTTCTTTGTTCAAATTAAAGATCAAAGAGATTGACGGTACAATTGGTAAAACTAAGATCCTAATAATTTAGAACGGTTACATGTCTAATTATTAAAATTTAACAAAAAATTATTTTTGTAATTTTAATATTATTTAGCTTTTGTAAATAATTAATATGATAATAAATATTAATAAAATTAAATTTTAATACAAGGACACCATCATTTGACAAAAATGAAAATTGAGGTTCAAAATCATTATTAAACTTAAAACTAAATATAATTCGATTTACATCGATTTTTATGAGGTCAATTATAATTATAGTTTGATGACTTTATTGAATTGCTCTACTTTTTAATTCACGGTCTAATCGATCTGACTAATTAAAAGGATTCCGGTATTAAAACACAGAAAAAAAAACATTTATATAAAACTAAAATAAAAAAAGATACATAATTTTATTATGACTAGACAAAAATTCAAAGTATGAGAACTCCTCTGCCTCACTAAAATTCTTACCTAAGAAAATTCAATAGAATAAAATCTTTTGAAAAAAGTACAAGACAATGATTCAAACATTAACGATCAAATCCAAAAAACTTAAACAAATTTAAATTTAATCTATTATGATTGAAATAATTCTAAATAGAATTAAGCAATCTATTCCACCAAGTAAGACTAGTAATATATAAATCAATGTTGGTCATTTTATCAACACAATAATTTTATTCTCTGAAAATGTGAGTAACTGTAAAATGCATTTGAGAAGAAGTAGACAATTTTATCCATCAGTTATGAAGAGTCCAAAGATTAGCGGAGATTGCTTGAAAGCAAAGGTAACATGTTGTAAATCAATTTTGAAGTGTTCAAAAAAAAAAGTTGTGAATCAATTTCTCTCCATATATGATGCCAATTTTTATCAAAATCAATTTTAATGACTAAAATAGCTCCCATCTACTTAGCATAAATATAAAAATAAATACCAATTTTAGAAGCACAGAAACCTAAAAGGTTAGCTTAATAGTCTCTGAATACATCACCACAAACTACAATGTCACCAAGGAAGTATTTGTTTGGTGGCCTTTGAAATTTATAAGCTTTTTTAAAATTGAGAGAGTCATCTAAATTTTGAATTTGAACAAGTTTGATAGAAAATTTAAACCTAGAAATAGTTATCTTGTTGAGAAAGTTAAACAAATTAGGAATAATGGGCATAATAGAAGCATGAATATATCATTGATCACTGAGTTTTAAATATTTCACCTTTGCATTAAGGAAGAGGATAAAGTAGGTAGAAATAACATCCCCTAGCCAAATAATTAATAGAACTCCCATCACCAACTAGTCATTCAGATTTATCCTTCACATATGAAATTTTACTTTTAATTTTTTCTCAATATTAGTGAATGTTATATTGAATAAAACTAAATGTATTTTTATCGTCTCCATGAGGATTGATTGTGTTTTAAAGATTATTCAATAGTTTCTATTACTTTAAGAACGGTTCATGATATAGTTGATTGTTTATGAATACTGAAATGTGAAAATAACAAAAAATAAATTAAACATGCAGTGTTCATATTGAGAAAATTTGTTGGGGTTAGATTTTATTAATCTATTCTCATGTAGCATCATTGACTAGCAATATGTAATTCTAATAAGTTATTAACCACTCGAATCTCTCATCATAACTCATGTTTGATTCAACTACGTGAGATCAGTTGTATTACCTAACAAACAATCTCTCATCCTATTAACCAATACGTCATCATTAAGTTTCAACAATTAATACATATATTGAACCTAAACTTATGTTTAGACTTTAGCATATCCAATAGATGTAAGACTTTGAGCTAATAATGACTAGTAACTCTTGAATATGAAGTCATATTATGAAAATATCTTTTAGGTACCTAACACAAAACAATCATTAAGAATGGATAATCCATCAATATTAAAGCTTAAGAAGAATTACATAGAACGCCGTCATTGATATAAAAACATGAGTACTAATACAACTACATCTAACCCCAACAAAAGAGAAAATTAGCTACGCCTACTCATCGTAGCTTTACAATTAAGCCTTAGAGGAAAAATTTGAACAACATATGCAACGATTCCTCGAGCAGCACTTTCGTCCTCAATCTTCCTCTCATATTCTCTCCTACTATGATTTGTGGTGTTAATCTAACTCTCTCTGAGAACTACTGCAAATCCACTGACGAGCTCCTTTTCAACTGAATGGCACCCTAATTCATAGGGTATGATCTATTATACTCGCTAAGCCCTCCTCCCATCCATGCTTAACGCGCCTATTTTCTTCTCTCGTAAGAATCTTCAACTCGCCTACAAGTTTCCTTTACCGCTTTATCCCACTAAGCACTCCGCCCATCCTCGCCTAGTGCACAAATCCTATCTTCACCTTGAAGTAACTTAGCCCTAAGGTCACGAACCACCTTACCTCTCTAAGCGCGCTTTGGCAATGTGTTAAGTGAGGTTAAGTTACTTGGCCATGAAGTCTTCTTTGCCACCTTTATACAATAAGCGTGCCTTTGTTCTTGAGTAACAAGCCTTTCTTGTCATGAAGGTTCTTTGGCAATATCTTTTGTGTTTCTTGGGTGTTTTTTTAGTTCTTTTTATCTGTTTTTAGTCAATGTTCAGTAAAAGGTCCAAAGAGGAGTTTTTTACTTTTTAATGATTAATCAGAGAGATTTCATTGATTAATTATAAAATAAATTAATAAGTGCCAACGTATTTTACCTAATTTTGGCCCTTATCAACTCTCCCTCAGCTTTACCTTTTGTTTTTCCTTAAACAAAATTCATTCAAATTGTTAAGAAAAATTCAAACTGTGTGTTTAATAAGAAGTTTCATAACTTGATCAAGAAATTTTTAAAAATGCCTCATTTTGTGACATAATTTTATTTACAATGCAAGTTCACAATCAACATTAAAAATATCTACAAAACACAGTGTTTTACCCAAAAATTTTCCCTCTCATTTCTCAAGAAATCTCTCATAAGATCTCCATTGATTCAAGACTACACAAAGTTTGATCAGCTCAAGACACCTCCTCAAACACTGATGACTCAAATTAGGGTTTAAGTTTGTACAAGGATAATTGAACTTTCTAAGCCTAAATTGACATTCATGAATCATTTTGGACCCTCAAGATTGCTCATGTCAAGTTTCAAGTCTTAGATCATATTTTTGCTCAGTTAATTG